ACTTAAAAATCCCCTTGCCACGCACAGGATTAGTAAAACGAGAAACCAGATTTGGATTGGGAAAGATCTGCAACTCGCAAGATCCAGCGTCGCACGTCCATGATGGCGCCAGTGGCACTGGAGCAGCAGCAAAATATCCCACTGCCAATCCGCAGAAACAAACCACTCTGTCGTCCATGCAAAGGCGCGCGTGCTTTCTACCGAGTTCGATTCGAGTGTGGTGCCACCGACCATCCATTTGCGGACAGACAGGCGCGTGATCCGATGGTGGACACGACGACGTCCTTCACACGTAAGTTGAGCATATCCTTCTCGGGCCGTGTTACCATTCCACTCGTCTCTCTAGTACCACTCGAATCGTGTGGGGAATCGCTGGCAATAGATAAGCTCTTCTCGTCCAAGATAAACCCGCTTGTCAATGCACTCTGATGTATATGTATAACCTTATCGCCCGTAGGTGTTGTTGCTGCTGAAGTGGGTCGTCTATTACAATAGATAAAACTATGCTAATAAAATTGTCGTACTTTCTTTGTTGTGCACACTCGGTTGAGGAACTTGATCTAGGCCGGCGGAGGCAGGAGCGCGATCCGCGGGACGCCCGTAGGTGTTGTTGCTTGAAGACCCAAAGTCATGAGATTGTCCCGCAGTTGCCCCATGATGTTCAACATGGCGTGTCGCCATTCTCTGGACGATCGGCGGCGGCGGTGCAAGTCGTTCGGTGCGACGGGTAGAGGCATCGCGCTACGACGACCCAGTGAACTTTTTTGGGAGAGTTGAGCAGCTGTCGCGCGCTGTGAAATTACAAACGTCGCAACGGTGTCGACATGGAGGTTGACGCGCTCACACAGGGTTCGATACCACTCGCAACCATTCTACTATGTTCGAGGCCGCACTCTAATTGTAGCTACGGCTGTTGACGGCCCATCGTAGCATCCTTCCAGCAGCGTCCTTGGCAGGACCAACGGTCAACCCCGTCAAGTCCTCAACTTGCAAAAGCTCCGTGTTGAATCGCCCAACCACCATGTGTTTTAGAACATGTGGGTAGTCTGATATAGAGCCTATAGATATTCGTGTGTGTTCAGCCACATTTTAGACTAGCTACTTCTGCTCCAGTAGTACTATATAGTAAATCTTTGAGCCTACGCACTCGCTTGTAGGAGAGATCCTGCATGCCCTCTCGAGATTTTCGCTCCATAACAGATGCTTGCAACACATGTTCAATGTGTGGCGACCAGCGCTCTGGACACATAGATCCGCCACAATCGAGACTACCGCTCCAGATCTTTTATCCTTTACAATTTACATACATGTACTGTAGTAATCCGAGAACGATGTGTCTGTGACGCTACACCATTAGCACTCTGCGGGGCGTTGACGTTGAACGGAGCGCGAGTTCAAGTTGGAAGTGGCTTTGCCCGTCATGTTGTTGAAGTGAGTCAATTTAGATATAATTTACACTGAGCTGTTTTTTTCAAATTTTATCCTCCTGCATTCTCCAGAGCAGTAGACACTTCGAGTACCCATCCGCAACAATCAGCGTCATGGCCTTTGCCCGTGTAATATTTAATGTTCGTCAAGCGTCCGAGGCGTTCAGCGCGTCCTCTCTCGTTTCGCCAGCACCTTACGACACAGACGACTGCACTTGAACCGCTCTTGTGCCGAACTATTTGTCGACGCGGTAGCCGACTATGACAGCTGCATACCACAGCACTATTTAAAGAGTTTCAACTACTAACTAGTACGCCCCTTGACTGCGCTCGATCGTTTCTCTTTTGAGTGGCACATCGGTCGGTCATACCACCTGTCGTTGATCGGACATCG